GTGATGCCCTTCTTTGTCTCTGTTGTTTCAGTCTTTTTTAATGTCTATTTTGTCTGATATATGTATAGCTACCCCGTATTTCTTTTCATTTCAATTTTTATGAAATGTGTTTTTCCAGTCTTTACTTTCAGTCTGAGTGTATCTTTCCATCTGAAGTGAGTCTCTTGTTGGCAGCATATGCTTATGTCTTTTTTTTTTTTTAATCCAGCCACCATATAGCTATTGGTTGGAATATTTAGTTCATTTGTATTTAAAGTGTTCATTGATAGGTATGTAGCTATTGCACTTTTATTAATTGTTTTGTAGTTCTTTTCTGTTCTTTTCATTTTCTCTCTTCTCTTGTAGACTGATGACTTTATTTAATAATTTGAGTTCCTTTCCCTTTATTTTTTGTGTATCTATTATAGGCTTTTGGTTTGTGGTTACCATGAGATTCATGTATAACAAGACATATTTATGGCATTCTATTTTAAGTTGATGGTCACTTGAGATCAAAGACATTCTAAAAGTACTACATTTTTTTACCCCTCCCCCACTTTTACGTGTTTTGGCATTATATTTCACATTGTGTGTGTGTGTGTGTGTGTGTGTGTGTGTATCCTTTAATATATTATTGTAGTCACACATGATCTTATTACTTTTCTCTTTTAAGTTTAATGGTAGCTTCATACTTGGTTAATCTACTACTTTCACTAAATGTTTGCCTTTATCAGTGAGATTTTTTCTTATATTTTTATTTTTTAGCTTTTTTTTCCACTTAAAGAAGTCCCCTTAACATTCCACATAGTGTCAGTTTAGTGGTGATGGACCCCTTTAGCTTTTGCTTGTCTCAGAAACTATTTTCCTTCAATTCTGAAAGGTAGACTTTCTGGGAAGAATATTCTTGGTTTTAGGTTTTTTCTTTCATTACTTTGAATATATTGTACCATTCCTTCTGTTCGGAAAAGTTTCTGCTGAAAAATTATGGGTATCCTCTTTGTTTAACAAACTGATTTTCTCTTGCTGCTTTTAAGATTCTCTCTTTATCTTTAACTATTGGCATTTTTAAAAATTTTATTTATTTATTTAGAGAGAGGGAGAGGGTGAGAGAGACATCAATTTCTTGTTCCACTTATATATGCATTCAATGGTTGCTTCTTCTGTGTGTGTCCTGACCATAGATTGAACCTGCAACCTTGGAGTATCAGAACAATGCTCTAACCAATGCAGCTACCCAGCCAGGGACACTTAGTATTTTAATAATGATGTGTATTGGTGTGGGCTTTTCTGGGTTTAACACCTAGGGGACTTGCAGCGCTTCCTGGAGTTGGATGTCTGTTTCCTTCACCAGGTTAGAGGAGGTTTCAAACGTATTTCTTCAAATAGGTTCTCTGACCTTTTTTCTTCTCACTTCTCTTTCTGGGACCACTATGATGCAAATGTTGGTATGCTTGATGTTGTTTCACAGGTTCCTTAAACTTACTATCACTTCTTTCTTTCTTTTTCTTTTTCTTTTTTGTTGTTTTTTTTTTTTTTTTTCCATTTTAAATCCTCATCTGAAGATATTTTTCCATTGCTTTTTAGGGAGAGTGGAAGAGAGAGGGAAAGACTAATTCTTTAGTCTTTAATGTGAAGAAACACATCAATTGGTTGCCTCCTGTAGGAGCCCTAGCCAGGACCCGGGCGGGGTAGGAGCCTGCAATCAAAGCACGTGCCCTTGACTGGAATTGAACCCAGGACCCTTTGGTCCCAGGTCGATGCTCTATCCACTGAGCTAAATCAGCCAGGGCCTCATTATTTCCTCTTCCTCCTCCTCATCCTCCTCCTCTTCTTCTTCTTCATTTTCGTCTTCGTCTTTGTCTTCATCTTCTTTTCTTTTCTCTTTGTCTTCTTTTCTCTTCATCTTCTTTTCTCTTTGTCTCCTTTTCTTTTCTTTCCTTTTCTTTTCTTTTTTCGTTGTTCCCATTCTGTGATTTCCACTACCTGTTTGTCAGGTTGTTGATTTGGCCTTCTGTGTTATCTAATCTTTTGTTGATTTCCTCTAATATATTTTTCATTTATTGTAGTCATCAGTTCTGGTTGGTTCTTTTATTATATTTTCTGTCCCTTTATTGACGTTCTTGCTAAATTCATCTGCCCTTCTTCTGAGTTTGTTGAGCATCTTTGTCACCATTGTTTTGAATTTGTTATCTGGTAGATTACATTTAGGTTTGTAATCTTGTCTCTTTCATTTAGGTTTTTTTCTGGAATTTTGTTCTGTTCTTTCATTAGGAACATATTCCTATGTCTCCCACTTCAGTTGTTTCTCTGAGTTTTAATCTATGAAATCGGTGAAAATAGCAGCCTCTCTTGGACTTGAAGGATGGACTTGTGTAGGAGCATCCCCTTTCTAGAGTGAGTGTGCCAGGTGTCTGGCCAGATGGCTGGATCTGTAGCTGGTGTGGGCATGGGCCATGGTAATTCCTGGGACAAGCTGTTCCAGGGCCTGAAACTGTAGCTAGAACAGGTGAGCCCCACGGGTTTCCAGGGATGAGCCATAACAGAGCCTGTCTTGGCAGGTGAGGTGGGAGCTGTATTTGGGGCAGGCTGTGGAGAGTCCTGGAGGTCAGAGGCACTAGCCAGGAGCTGAAGATGAAGCTAGCATGGGCTGGGGGAGGGGACAGGAGCTATGGCTGGAGCCCGAAGGCAAGTGGTGTAGCCAGTGTGGGCCTGGGACCTGGAGGCTAAAGCCTGGGGTGCACTAGGGACTAGGGTGGCCTTGTCCAGCTGGCTAGAGCTCCTGATTGACCTCCTGCCTGTGCACTCAAGGTGGTGGGGGAACACAGCAAATGTGCTGCCTGGAGCCTCCAACCCAGAGAGAGTTCCCGCCTCCCCACCTCAAACTGGCAGATGCTCTAGAGCAGCGGTTCTCACCTTGTGGGTCACGACCCCTTTGGGGGTCGAACGACCCTTTCACAGGGGTCGCCTTAAGACCATCGGAAAACACATATATAATTACATATTGTTTTTGTGATTAATCACTATGCTTTAATTATGTTCAGTTTGTAACAATGAAAATACATCCTGCATATCAGATATTTACATTACAATTCATAACAGTAGCGAAGTTGCAGTTATGAAGTAGCAACGAAAATAATTTTATGGTTGGGGGTCACCACAACATGAGGAGCTGTATTAAAGGGTCGTGGCATTAGGAAGGTTGAGAACCACTGATCTAGAGTTAAGCAGCTGATTGATTTCTTCCCCATTTAGTCTAGATGCCCTTTAAATTACTGCTTTTGTGCTGTACCCTAGGGCCAGTGTGTCTACAGGAGGCTCCTCAGTGCCTCATTCCTATTGCAGGTTGACTTGTGGGTGTGGGTTCCCACAGCTCTCCTGCCTGTTTCTATGTGGTCTCTCTGTCATTTCTCATGCAGAAACTGTTCAGCCAGCCCCCAGTTCTTCTTCAGGTGGAATTGCTCTGTCTGCAGGTCCATTCAATGTATTTGTGGGAGGAGGTGAGTTCAGCATCTCCCTGTGCGGCTGTTCAGAAGCCTCCTGATCTCTTTACACAGCTATTGAATGCATCAACACAGGAGGGAAGGAAGAAAAATAAAATCTCTGCTTCAGCCTCACCAAGTATTGCTTTGTAGAAGGGCTTCTGGTCATATGTATGGCATTCTCTGAACTTGTGTGAGAAACTAAACAATTTTGTGGTTGTGTTTCAATTTTTGTATATTTGTAAAGTTAAAGAATAATGCTTGTTATTCTCCAATTAAGCAGGTGTGGTTCTGAGACTTTAATAGGGTAACCTTTATATTCGTTGCTTTTTAAACTGTTTTGGGTTTTGCTATGAGTTACATTACATGGTCATGAAGTTTCCTCTTTCTATCAGGGCAAAATGGAGAGTTTGATGATCTTAAAAGCCTGTAATTTACCTTGGATGTGAGCTATAAGGCTTATTCTGAATAAATTCCATGTAAAGCTACAGAAATTATGTAGAAAGTCTTTATGAATTGGAACTTAACATGTCACTGACACATTCTGAAGTGTGTTCCTTTGCCGTTAATGATGGATGGTCCCATTCTGCCAAGTTTAGCTGAAAGGGGTAGCTTAGAAACCCAATCATCAGATCTGGAATCTAGAAACTTCCTGGAACGTCCATAGTTTTAAATCAGGGTGGCTGCAGCCTGCATCTGTGCAAGGGATGGCATGCCACCAGCTTCTCCACGCAAGTCTCCGGGCCAGAGCTATACACGCCAGCCCTGTTTCCTGTGCATCGGCGTTTAAAAGCCCCCAGTGGTTTGGGAGGATGAGGCCTTGCTTTGGGGCTTCTTGGTCCAGTTTTGGTGGGACCTGGCTGGAAACCCTGGCTATTAGATAGTCTGGCTTATTTCTATGGTGTATTAGCACCCTATAAAAGTTGTATGTCATTTATTTCAAGTTTAGAGTCCTCTCAGACTTCAGGGGCCAACCAAACTTGAACCTTTTGTGGCTGGAATTCTGTTCACCTTTGGCCAAATCTTGCTTCCTGACTGTGAGCCTGGGAGGTGAGGTGAGGCCCCTTGGACATCAGGTCAGTTTTGCCAAACAAGGCTTTGATAGGTTCAAACATGAATGCATCCGAAACAAGGACATTAACTTGCTGTCAGAATCCTCTGGGGCCTACACACAGAAGTATATTGTGCCAGGCACAGTGCATTTTGAATGTTGCCTTCCACCCACTGGGAGGCAATATCTGAAATTTTTTGCCAGACACCGTTGAAATTGGGTCATGTCACTCACCTTCCACTTCCAATAAATGTATCAACGGGTTTCTATGAAGGTTGTTTGACACTCCAGTTGAATGAGGATCTTGGAGAAATTTGGACATTTCGGTGTTTGAAGCATTTGTGTTTAACCAGGGACAAAGTAAACAAGGTGCAGTGTCCCGTTCAAGGATGGCTCTGACTCCGTTGTGTCTGTTTCTGAACACAGGCTGGCAAGCAAGGCCTTGTGCTTGAATGAAGGAGCAGTAACAGCCCGTTGCATGTGCCTTTCAGATAGAGGAGCTCATGAACGCCCTGGAGAAGACCAGACAGGAGCTGGACGCCACCAAGGCACGCCTGGCCTCCACACAGCAGTCCCTGGCTGAAAAGGAAGCGCACTTGGCCAACCTCCGAATAGAGAGGAGGAAACAGCTGGAGGAGATCCTGGAGATGAAGTGAGTACCCATTTTTGTTTCCTGGTCTCTCTTTTCTGATCTCTCTTTAGGGATGGGGAAGGGAAGGCTGGAGGAGGTGAAGAAAGAGCTTAAAGAAAGAATAATTTAGCTAACACCTGACTAGTCATTCCAGGACTACGCTTCTTCTTCCTTTTTTTTTTTTTTTTTTTTTTTTTTAAGTATAGCTTCCCATGATCCATTTTGCACATTTTTCACATCTGTGATTCGGAACAAAGCATTGAGCATTAGATTTTGTATTTCTGTTTCATGGATGGCATTCTTAGGTCTGTCACAAAGGTCTGAACTGGCTCAGAGACCGAGGCTCGTTAAGCACAATAGTAATTTGAGCAGGGCACTGAGTTAAGTGGAAACTTCTCTGAGGAGGTATTTCCTAATTGTGACTATAACTTTGCTAATTATATTCTTTTCACTTGTGTACAATGCCTGGCTTGTGTTGGCTTTCATAGAGTCTCAAGGTTGGCACCTCTTTGTTTAGAAAGCAGGCCTCTGATTTGCTGAGCTGATAAAAACAGGCTTGGAAATTCTACCGCACCCCCACCCCTTCTGGGGAAGGTTAGGTAAGGGGGGAGACTGGATCCAATCTCTTTTCTTTGATTTAATCAGTAAAGTACGGCTGCATGCTGGGTAGTGGTCATTCCTGTGGGCCTATAGCACATCCATCTCCACCTAGGTCTTATTTTGCCCTCACAATGAAATAATATCATTATGGAAGAACATAGCCGAGAAAATTACTCAAAGATATTAGAAATAATCCATTGCTGTGGATCTGTTTCTAAAGAAGCAGGTAAGAAGCAACATGTTTCTATATAAGTTTTAAAATGAAATAATCACCAAGAAATAATTTCAATCCACCTTCCTTCCACAATCAGGGGAAATGTACATAACGATGACATCTTAAGCCTGTAACATAGACTTTGAAATTGGTGGCTAGGTATGGAAGAATGACCTTCTCCTGACCCCACAAGCCTTACACATGGTTAACATTAGACCTGAGAGCTTAGATCATGGAAAATGTGGAGTGAAACATTTTGAAAGATTTAATAATGAGGACAAAACTTTTATTTCTCATCAACTACCTCAGTTTCTCTAAGACCAAAGAATAAGTAGTTTTTTCTCACCTATAAACTCAAATGTTTCCTAATAAAAGATGATATAATGAAAACAGATATTTTTATCCTCAGTTTAGAGGTGGGGGAACTGAAAGTCAGAAAGCTTTCAAGTAATTTGCTTAAGTCCATCTGGCCAGGATTAAAAGCAAAACCTTCTACCTGAAGCTTTCTTTCTATGACCTCATTTTCTCAAGAAGTCATGTGAGCACCACCAAGCCCAGAACTCCTGTGTTTGAGTCAGTGTGGTGATCATCCTGCCTAGAACTGTGCCTGGCATGTGGTAGGTGCTCAGTGCTTGTTTGTTGAATAAGTGAGTAGGTTGAATGCGGAGACTGGATTTTATGTAACTAAGAAGCATAGTATTTCAAGCGCCTCGATCAATAATCTGTTCACTACCAGCACATTGATTTCATCAGCCTTTATTCTTTTCCATTCATCTGTTCACTTCTGCCTCCTGGTGTGCAGCCTAGTTTCTTACTGCTTCCAAGTTAACTCTCTATCTCCTGGAGTGATTTATTATGCCATTTTATGGAAATTTCCATTCCTTCCTTTTCATAAAAAGAGCATATTCTTTCAACATTTTGAGAGAACAAATAATGGTGAAGCATGCTGGTTTGGGAGTCATCAGACCTAGAAATCCCGTTGCTTCTACCTGGTGGCTGGTGGCTTAAGGGAAGTGACCTGACCGTCACTGATCCTCCAGTTCTCTCCTGTAACCACTTCCCTGGGGTGGTTCTGTGCAGGGGTCCTCAGAGGAGGGCTTGGCGCATGGAACAGAATATATGAGTGTAAATGGTGCTACCAGCCAATGAAAATATATCATGCGTTTAGTATACTTTGTGAAGAGTATCATTTATCTAAAATTTGGATTTATTTTTCTAAAACATATAAACCTTTTCCATGTGTATGTTTTCCCACTTAATTTCATGATTTCAGATAGCACCTAACTAAGACCTCTTTTGGTGAATTGCCACATTATTTCTGAAGTGCTTAATCTGCTACCACTACAAAATAAATACAAAATTCCTCTGTTAATTCCTTTGGTAAAAGTTACAAAGCCCCGCTTCACTAAGCCCAATATGAACCCCATTGACTATTTAACCGGCCCAGAACCCCACTTATGGCTCTGTTCTGGGACTGTGGGGACAGAGGTACAGGGCAATTGTATTGACTGAGAACAGCAACTAGATTCATCAACCTCCTGGGCTGTTCGAGTCCTCGAACTGGTTTGATTGTTCTTGATTATTAAGCTGAGTTGCCATATTGGTTACTCGACATTAACCCAGTCAACCTAAGTATGTGGGAATAGTCATATGTGTGTATCATTGGCAGAATTACTCTCACTCTGTGCCAGGCAATGTTGATCTTCTTTCAACTGGCAGGCAACATGCAAGCAACTTTCAGCCAAGTCCACCCAGTTTTCAATCCCTGGTGGGAAGGGAGTGGCTGTGTGGTGTTAGAGGAAAGAGCTGGAGCCCTAAGCCAAGAGTCGGGAGATATAATATCATCCCTCACCCCTAACAGGAGATTACTGTCTGGTTGCTTCTGTTTTCCCTTTAGCAACATGAAGGTGATAATAGTGTCTACTCTATAGAATTGTTGTAGGGATTTTTTTTTAAAAAGTACTAACCTGAAATTAATATAAGCCAGCATATGTGAAAATGCTTTGAAATGTAAAAGGGGCTTTTGGAATGAAAGGTGGTGTCTGTTAAATCCATTGCAAAATCAAATGGCACCAAGTTTTAGAATTGGAAAGCAGCTGGTCCAGCATCCCAGTCTGCATAAGCCAGACTCCCATCCATTTAATTACAGATAGGAATTCCCAGGTCCTGGGAAACAGGATTCACAATGGAAGTCATGGGGTCATAATGTGATGGTCATGCCCGGGACTCTTGCAGGTAGCTCATTCATTCTCATGTTGAACTAGAATGGCTTTGCATGTAGTCTTTCTACTTGTCTTGGTTTTTGTTCTAGAGCTCCACAGACTTTATCTGCACCTCACCCAGAGGATAGAAAGCAGTTTAGATATTTGTTTGAGTAACAGTGTTTATTTTAGAAAAGAAAAAGAAATATGAAGAAGCAAAATTAAATGTCACACTGGTGACATTTTGGTATATACCTTTACAAATACTCTTTACTTTTTAACAAAAGTAGATCGTATTTTTATAGTTTGTAAATACTGCTTCTTTTGTTTACTGAATGGGGAATACTCTCCCTGTCACAAGCATAGAATTCCATTTGTAATGACTCAGTATATTGTCATATAGGTTCGCTCCTTTATTGGTATTGTGGTGCCAATGTTTTGGTAATATAAAGAATGTTTTTATGCTGTAGTAATATCAGAATATTAGATTTTTGTAAACCTTGTATGTGGAGTAGTAAGGAACAAAAGTCATTTTGAATATTTTTAAATTTTTTTTATTAGTTAAATCTTTATTGTTCAGATTAAAAAAAAGAATGTTTTGATAAGCATTCTTCTCTTTAATTTCATTTCTTTTAAAATAATTATAGCTTAATATGCAGTTACAAGAAACAGTAGAAAGAGGTCTCTTGTACATTTCCAACATTTCCCTCAATGGTAACCTCTTGCATAATTATAGCACAATGTCACAGCAGAAAATTGATATTGGTTCAGTCATCAACTTTAATTCAGATTTATTCAGTTTTACATGCACTCATTTATGTGTGAGTGCGTGTGAAATTGAGACATATCAATTTCAACTCATGTATAGATGTGTGTAACCACCATCATAGTCAAGACACAATATTGTTCCATCATTATAAAGACCCCTCATGCCACCTTTTGATAGCTACACCCACAACCAACTGTTTCCTCTTATTTTTATTTTTTGTTAATTCTCACCCAAGGATATTTTCCCTCCATTGATTTTAAGAGAGAGTGAGAGGATGAGTATGAGAGAGAGGAGGGGGAGAGAGAGAGAGACATCAATGTGAGAGAGACACATCTATTGGTTGTCTCTCCACACACCCTGGTCAGGGCTCAGGGAATCAAATCTGCAACCCAGGTATGTGTCCTTGACTGGGAATCAAACCTGTGACTCTTCAGTGTGTAGGCCAACGCTCTAACCACCAAGCAAACTGGCCAGGGCCCAGCTTTTTCATTTTTACCCAGAGTTTTGTGTTATATCATTTTGGGACAAGTGCCAGATAGTGTACGTTTTCCCGGCCATTCTTCTTTGGCAGGGCAGGGAATTATCCTCTTCTTAGTTTAAATTTAGACTGAATTTAAAGTTAGGAAATATTACTTCATTCCTCTAATTTAAAGATTTCTCATGAGTTAGTTTTATTTTATTTGCAGTGGAATTCCCTTTTAATATTGGATATCTAGAACTTGTTATGTGGTAAGGATCGAATAAGTGTTTGAGGAATTAAAGGACAAATTAGTTCAAAAAATCAAATATTCATTGAGCTCTTACCATGTGGTAGGTATGGTTCTAAGTGAACAAAGAGACAAATCCATGACCTTATCCAGTTTACATTTTAGTAAAATGACTTAAGGAAATGAACAGACAAATACCTGAAAGAAATGAATAGATGAATGAAGTAGATTCTTGTATAACCAAAGAAGTTTGGAATCCCACTTAGCAAGCTGTTTCCAAAGGCAAGGAGCCTCATGGCTATTTGGGGTAGAGAGGGACATGGAAAATGCAATGTGCCCTCCTACGGCCTGAGAACCCTTTTGGGAACTGACGATGAGGGAGGGTCTTTGCCTGTGTTTCAAGTAGGGTTCTTCCCCCAACACCTCTTTCTTCAGTTTGGTCTTCAGTGGTTGGCATTCTAATTGCCGGTCATTATTCTCACACTGGAAGGTACTAACAGTTTCCAGCCATAGAAGAACATAATATTGGC